TGATACATTTTACAGAGCGCTAAATTCAAAAGTACCTACTTTCCCTATTTAAATTGTATTGATTGGAGTGACAGAGGGAAAGGGAATGACTATGACAGTTGAGGATATAAATAAAACATGTCCCCTTTCAAACTAAAATTGACCTGTCCGACCTCTTCTTAACATCTATAATATTAATATCCAAAACTCCAATGTCAAGTGTTCATTGGGACACCTTGCATAATATGAAGTGCTCCACAAAAAATTTAAAGTTGGTTTTGGAAATATTCAGGCATGTCGGAGCGTACAATTCTTCTTTTTAAGCGTCAGTTTCTATTTAATTCGCCGTGCATAGTTATCATAGACATGACTACGTATCTCTGTCATTGTCGGTCATGGCCTACTTTCGAAACATTTTTTGTCCATCACTTTTATATTATGTCTCTTATTATTATGTATATATTGATTATTCCTTTAGATCTTGGTCTGATCTGTGGTTTTCTTCCTGTCAGCTCCCATTTTATTAATACATTTATTATTTGTTTTTTCTTTATTCTAAACATTTTGCTTTGCGCTGCTTATTTTTTAAATTTTTTTCTCTTTTTTAACCTTACAATATTTCCTGATTATTATTCGTTTTAACCTTATTTTTCGGTCCCTAATATTTTTGTTTCTCTTTCGGTGTCATATGCTATGAAAGCTCAACTTAAAAAACAATCTCTTACTAAAACCCGAGAAAAACAACCACAGAGAAGCGACAAAGCCATTCCCGTAAAAAATATTGTGTGGGGGATAACCTGGTCAACTGTCATTTTAATTTCAACGCGCTTGCCAGCTTGCCTGTTTGCCTGTTTCACTAAGTCGTGATTTTTGCTATTTGCCGATTCGTTTTGTTTGAGTTAAAAAAAACTGACAATCCACCTTTCCCGTTATTCGAGAATTTCACATTACTCATGGGCGAAAAAGCGCTGGACTTTTGAATCTAGTAATTTTTCCTACAACTTATTTTTTATCTCTCTCCTATCCCTGCCTTACAACTGTTGGGTTGGCTACGATGATTGTCCCCTGTCATAGTTACTATAAACAATGTTTAAAAAACTGTCATCTAGCCTATATAGTAGGGGAGACAGTGATACTTTTTTGCTACACATTTGCATAAGGCATTATCTAAACAGACTTTTTTAAGATGTCGTCGTCGTCGAAGACTCCATCGCAGTAGGGACTACCAAAGTATTTCTACGTTCTATAAGGTAAGAATGAACAAAATATTTGTAATTTTGCCTTTCGCAAATAATACACCCCAAAAGTGTCACTGGCTTCCCTACCAATAATAAAAGTTAAAAAAAAAACATTTACGGATGTGTAATTGGAAATTGAAGTAGGGAACAACAAATTTGTAATTTTAATAGAAGGTAGGATTTGCGCATGAGTAATAGATATCATCATTAATAACGGGAAAAGAAAGGTATATTAGCATGTTTTTTATTTTAATTTTTGGAAAATCAAATTAAAAGTTTTATCATGACAGAAACTCCTTAAATAAGAAGCAATATTTTATTATATTAATCTTAGGCATGATAAGTAAGGTTAAATATTATTTTCAATTTCAATATAATTTTTTCTAAGTGTCTAAGTGTATTTATTACGCTTCATTAATTTTTTTCTTGAAGTATTATAGCGGCCATCCGTCTCATAAGTCAAATTCAAGGTCACCAAAAGTTTACTCTACGAACTTCAAAGGACCGACAGTTATTGTCGCTTCTCGGCCCTTCTGAAAGGGTTTATTAAAAAAAACTTTTATACTTAATTTTCCTTTTCCAAAGTCTGAAGATAGAATACAAGTACATTTAAAATACAAAAAAATGTAGATCAACTTTTACGGATACGATAGTAAATTTTTCCTACGGCCACTTAGGAAAGTGACACATATCTTAAGTAAAGTGCCCTACATCCCATGTGTGTGAATAAAAATGTACTTTCTGCCCGTGTGTGAAAACGAATCTACTTTCCGCATCAGCTGTCAAATATTACAGACGCATCATTTCTATTTTGATATACGTAATGTTCATATTAATAGATTTGATGATTAAATTGTTAACTTTCATTTTTATACATATTTAATTTTATCCTTTATTAAAATAATATAAATGTAACTACATTCTTTTTGCTTTTTTCTAGTTAATACACATATTTGATTAGATAATTCATTTGACACAAGACTTCATGGAGCAGAGCGCAAAGTATTCGCGACGCAGGTTCAATCCGCGATAAAAGCAATCTTTTTTACTTTCCTGTCTTTTTTTTTACTTTATCGCTGCTATTTACGATTTGAAAAGAAAATGATTTTAATAAAAGTTGTTTGCGTTATCATTTTCTATATTTTTTGTTTTATACATGATTTCTCTAAAATGGGCCGTAATAGAAAAATATGAGGAAAAATGTGAAATTTCAAACTTTCAGTATTTTCGTTGGCAATGAATATTTATATAAAAAAATATTTCGAGTCAGATGGTGTGGAAAATGTATGTATTTAGTTCATCCTCTAAACGTTTACAATAGATTGTACAAAATAACCGAAAAAAGCCTGTAACAACTAGCCAGGAAAGTCAAAATTAGTACTGCGTAGTAATTTATTGCACTCTAAAACTATAGAGTAAAATAAAGAATATTTTACACTGAACGATATTTGAAATCTAGTCTTTGTTCTGATCAGATTTTGTTCCTTAGAAAAATATGAAAATTGAAAAAATATGACTTATTTTTATATATTTTATTTATCATAATAGTACCCGTACAGTTAGAAAAAAAAATTATAAGTAAGTATCATCTTTAATAATAAAAAAAGTTCTTGTAAAAATATTGTAAAATATTGTAAAATATTGTAAAATATTGTAAAATATTGTAAAATATTGTAAAAATATTGTAAAATATTGTAAAATATTGTAAAATATTGTAAAATATTGTAAAATATTGTAAAATATTGTAAAATATTGTAAAATATTGTAAAATATTGTAAAATATTGTAAAATATTGTAAAATATTGTAAAATATTGTAAAATATTGTAAAATATTGTAAAATATTGTAAAATATTGTAAAATATTGTAAAATATTGTAAAAATATTGTAAAATATTGTAAAATATTGTAAAATATTGTAAAATATTGTAAAATATTGTAAAATATTGTAAAATATTGTAAAATATTGTAAAATATTGTAAAATATTGTAAAATATTGTAAAATATTGTAAAATATTGTAAAATATTGTAAAATATTGTAAAATATTGTAAAATATTGTAAAATATTGTAAAATATTGTAAAATATTGTAAAATATTGTAAAATATTGTAAAATATGTAAAATATTGTAAAATATTGTAAAATATTGTAAAATATTGTAAAATATTGTAAAATATTGTAAAATATTGTAAAATATTGTAAAATATTGTAAAATATTGTAAAATATTGTAAAATATTGTAAAATATTGTAAAATATTGTAAAATATTGTAAAATATTGTAAAATATTGTAAAATATTGTAAAATATTGTAAAATATTGTAAAATATTGTAAAATATTGTAAAATATTGTAAAATATTGTAAAATATTGTAAAATATTGTAAAATATTGTAAAATATTGTAAAATATTGTAAAATATTGTAAAATATTGTAAAATATTGTAAAATATTGTAAAATATTGTAAAATATTGTAAAATATTGTAAAATATTGTAAAATATTGTAAAATATTGTAAAATATTGTAAAAATATTGTAAAATATTGTAAAATATTGTAAAATATTGTAAAATATTGTAAAATATTGTAAAATATTGTAAAATATTGTAAAATATTGTAAAATATTGTAAAATATTGTAAAATATTGTAAAATATTGTAAAATATTGTAAAATATTGTAAAAATATTGTAAAATATTGTAAAATATTGTAAAATATTAATTATAAAATATTGCAAATGGAATCACAATGTTTTTGATTTCTACAAAATGCCATTCGTAAAACAACTTTAAAATTATTCAATAAGACATGTAAATACAAATTTAGAAACAGTCACATCTTGATTGAACCTCCATAGCCAGATTACCAGGTTTTACATTTTTTATGAAATTATTTTGTGGTCGGAGGAAAAATATTGTACATCACTTGTGTAAAAGTGATTTTTCACACTCGCTTAATTTTCGCACTCGGCTTATGCCTCGTAAAATATTTCCCACTCGTAATGTAATATACTTTAATCTTAGTTTTATACGCTCACATGATGCATTCTGAGACTGAACTGAACTATGAGAGATTAAATTCACAGTTACAGAAATGAAAAACAAATTTAATATTTTTATTCCAATAAATATATTAAAAATACTGTTTTTAATTTTGTTTTATCTTGAAAATGCAAATCAAAGTTTACTGGTTTTGAGATTTATTATCGCAAAACATTTTTGCGAATTTACTTTCCCTTGATAGTCAAATAGGGATCAGACTTCGACAGCCTACTCCTCGAAAAATCTAAAATACCAAACGAAATTACCTATCCAATGAGGCATCACAAGATAGACCATTCCAGTTAAGAATTCTGTATGTAGTATATTATGTTATGAATAAAAAACGGAAATGAAAATGATAAATCTTCAAAATATTAAATTGAAAATATTAATTCAGTAACTAGTGTCATTTAAAATTTATAAAATTTTCACAACTAGTTCAACCTCTAAATAAAAATATCCTTTTAATTTGATTACAAAAAATATATAATCCAATTTCTGGGCGCTGCTTCTTATACAAGGTCTCATTTACCATATTATTTTTTATTTTTTAATTACTTTCAATAGATACTTTTAGTTTTTTATAGACAAAAAAATCCGTCAAAAATGTGTTAACAACTTTTTGTTGCAGATTGCATGATTCAAAAACTGGGAACCTAAATCAATTTTCTTCAAATACTATTTCATTCTTAATCCGTCACTGGATATCCTGCATGAAAATAAATCACGACAAAAATAATCACAAAACTACTCACGTTCACAAGTTTCCACTGTTCACTGTCAAGAGTCAATAGATAACCAAAATCAGAGATTCTGCATCACGGTTCACTGAATCACTCTTACCTGTAACCGATGGGTACAATTCATGAAAAATTATCCCAACCACTATCTAGCACTAAAACTAACTGATGCCTCCAGAGACATCTTCTTTATATACCTAATAGGAGAATGGAGGTGAATCGTTGTCCCCCAAATAAATCTTCACGCTCTCCGAATAGTCAAAATCTTCGCGAGATTCGTTTGGTTGAGTGTTATCTAAATGGAGAGATTTTTGCATGGGGAGGAAAAAATTCAGATAACCATATACTCCCACTAAAAGTAGGTTTAATGAAGGATACACTTATAACCTTTGAAGGCAAAAATGTTTTAGGGGACAATTTAACAATAAAATGTTTCTAATATTTTTTAGAAAATTTAACATACTTTTATTATTTTTAAAATAAATATAATAATTATGACCCCAATAAATAAAAGCTTAGCTTATTATATATTTAAGTTTACATGATGCTGTAATTAATAATTAAAATTGTAGAAGTATCTAGAGAAATTAATTATCTGATATAATAATGTAGGTAATAATATATCGATATTTCAAACTGTTTCAAATTGTTGTTTCAGGTCAGGACCTAGGTAGGTACTCTAGAAGTGTAATTTAACTTTTTATAAAACAAAAAAAAACAGTATACATCCGGTTAAAAATATTAACATTGAATTTTGATAATCATTCCGTAATATATTATCTAATAAATTTAGAAAGTATTTAATATTTATTCAATAACATCTTATTTTGAATGGTTCTGTATATGTAGTTAAAAATAACACTTAAAAAACAAATATTGAAACTGTATTTGTAGATCTATCTTTTAAATAGACATTCGAAAACAGAAGCAAAACATTATATTTTCCAATGAAGTACTGGTATCCTCGGGTGTACCGCAGGGCAGTATGTAAGGGCCACTTTTATTCATTTTGTACTTCAATAATATTAATTTCATTAATCGCCCACTTTAAAATAATACCGAAACTTCATTATAAATAAACTTTAAACATTCAAATCCATTTGGTCGAGGATATTAAAACAGGTTTTATTTATATTATTAAACTTTAAAAAGTATTTTTATTAGGTACTTATAAAAAATATCCAATTAATTGTTTCAAATTAAATAAATTTTATGCGGAAGGTACTTAAAATGTTCTCGATTTATCTACTTCCTGGTAAAAATATGGTCTATTTTTTGTTGCTTCTCAGATAAAAAAAATCTGATGTGTTCAACATAATATGACTTTCCTATCTAGTTATTACGGGCTTTTTTCGGTTATTTTGTACAACCTATTGTAGCACCTCTGTAAATATTTAGAGGTTAACTTACTATATACATTTTCCACATACATCTAACTCGAAACATTTTTATATATACACTCATCGCCAACGAAAATGCTGAAAAAATTTTAATTTTATAATTTTCCTCCAATTTTTTTATTACGGTCCATTTTAGAAAAATCATGTAAAAAACAAAAATTATAGAGATAGATATAACAAACATCTTTTAATTTAAATTTAATAAAATTTCTCGAATACGGACCATTTTAGGAAAATTTTGCATAAAACAAAAATTATAGAAAATAATATTAGAAATAACTTTTATCTAAAGAATTTTCTTTTCCAAACGTAAATAACAGATATATTTCATAAAATATAAAAACGTCCCTCTATAAAGTACCCCCGGATGTTCCGACTCTGTCCAAAATCTAATCCGTTTACCTCAGGCCGGAATAAAGCTTAAGTTTAAAATTAATTGTGTTTTTCTTTATCCGAATACGGTCCATTTTAGAGAAATTATGTATTGAACAAAAATTATAGAGAATTATATCACAAACATCTTTTATTTGAACAATTTTCATAAAAATTAGATTTTTTTAC